CGAGGTCGCCGACGGCGCCACATATCTCCACTGGCCCCCGTCCCAATGCAGCTATCACCAACTCCGCCTCAACCAGGACGGGGCCTGCAATGGGAGAAGGAAGACGGGATTGAGGAGGAAGAAGAGCAGAGAGCCGTAGTCCCACCAGCCGCCGCAGCAGCCGCCGCCACAGCAGCCGCCGCTCCTGCACAAGCCTTTGCTGGCCGATCGCTGGATCATGAGGAAGAGATGGCCTCTGGTGGAATTCCCCCGTTTGACCGTTTCTCTTCTGACGAAGAGGTGGACAGCCCCTTTCCCACCCCACCATCATCCAAAGGTGCCTCCCTTCCCAGACACCCTTTGCCTTTGCGAAATGTTAGAGGCGTCGAAGTGGACGATGAACTGGATCCATTTTTTGATGCTGAGGAGGACGTCGGGGCAGGTGATGATTCAGAGTTAGTCGAGGAGCCTGAGGAGGACGCAGGCCATCTGGGACGGGACCCCGATGAGTCACGAGATGAAGACGCACGAGAGAAAAAGAAGCAACTCGATAATCCATACCAAGACGCAAATGAAGAGGAAGGATGGAAGCTGAAGCGGCGGACCAACTACGCACTCGACTCCAAAGCTAGTGGATTCCACCAAGTTGACATTTGGGAGAAGCAGATGGGTGGAGGTGGGAGGCAGGGTGGGGGGAAGAAGTGGCCTCAAGAAGGAGAGGGAAGTGTCTGGTGTTTCTTCATGTCATTCGGCTGGATTATCCGCTTCTGCTTGCGGACGACGGTACCGACCAAGGCAGAGCTGGAGACCTTCCGCAAGCACTGCTGGCCGAACACCGCCCGGAAACGATCCTCACTCATGGGCGGAGTCGGATGGTATTTGCTCTCCCGCCGCTCGATGCGGAGACCGCTCTCCCCACCCACCGGCCCGTGTCTGGTGCTGGGGCGCATCTTCTCATCCATCCAGCCGATGGTCTGAATGGCTATCCGACGTGAACAGAAGATGGACTCACGCCGCACCATCCCATGCTCCTGGATGCCGCCGCTCTTGGTGGTCTTGGGCAGAATAGAAACGTAGTTGTTGGCGGGAAGACGCTTCTTGATGAGGAAGGAGTGAATCCTGCTGCTGCAGTCGTTGAGGACAGCAAAGGTGTCCTGCTCAGCTCGGTCGGCATTGGTCAAGATCTCGTCCCATCCTTTGCCGAGGCGCTTCTTGTCTATCAGAAAGTCGACGCTGCCGACGGCAAGAGGGATGCGGGCTAACTTGGCAGGATGGTGCTCTGCGGCAACAGTTCCAACAGCAGCGGCTTCCGTCC